GCAATATCTGAGCATGATGTGCCAATGGCTGTGTCCCCACTGTCAGCTACACTTGAACAGCGGCTGAAGCGGCTCCGAAAGGCCTCTGAGATAACTGGCGTCTGCCATTCAGTTCCTAGGGAACTGCCCTTCTGAAACACACTGGAACCTGAAACAAGTGGCATTTCCCACCTTTAGTGTGACTCAGATGATGTAAGCCCATGAGATCATTTAGAAAAAAATTGCTCTTAAATCTGAAAGAATAGCAGCACCCACCTCCTCCTCACTCACAGACTTATTTCAGCTACTCTAAACTAGTTAATTTTAAGAGGAAATAGCATGAGAGGTGAGAATGTTCAAAGACAGGATCCAGGAGTACTAGGACAGAAAACAGTAGTATTTAATAGCAGTTACCATTTATTAACACCTAGAAGCCATACAACTTTACAAACATGATTCATCTACCTATTTACTGAAAAGGTAGTATCACCTACATTTTACAAAGAGAGCTGAGATTTGAATCCGGGTCTTTCTGATTCCAACACCCACATTCTTTCCTCTAGCAGGGCTTCTCAGTGGGTGCTTTTGGCATTCTGGGCATGACAATTCTTCAATGTATAGTCCATGCATTACAGGATGGTTTAGTATCTATGGTCTCGCACTAAATGCCAGTAGAAACCCTTACCCCACCCCACTATCATGTGACAACCAGAAAATACTCCATATATTTCTAAACACCCCCTAGGATAACAAGCGGCCCAGTTCCCTGTTGAAATCTACCACTTGACTAAACCAGAGTACCCTCAATGAGCAGGGTGAATTCAGATCAAGGGGAGTTTCAAAAGTCAATGTGAAGAGCTTTATTCTGAGGGCAGTGTAAAGAAACTGCTAAAATTTCTGAGTAGGTGAGACTTAAAAAAAAAAGACTGATGAGATTTGACTTTATTATTAGTTTTTTACAGCTCTTTGAGGGTTGATAGGTAGGAAGTATTCAATAAATACTCGATTTACTTACTAACATACTGGCAAAGGCTTCAACTCAAATTAATTTTTAAAAAACTAGAATAAGATTTCTAGATGATCCATGGAAACAAACAAACCAAAAAAAGGTAATGGTAGCTAGTTACCCTCTATTTATAAAGTATCAGAGTTTGAGTTGAAATTTAAAAATATGGTTCTAGACAGTCTTTGATCTAGTGGGAGACAAATGATACTTGAACAGAAATCATCTTATTCCTTTCTTATAAATTTAGTGCTTCTCCTATCTTTTTAACCTACTTCTACTTCTGTTCCTTTTTTGTTAGCTTTACTTCTGCTTTCTACTGAGGGCAAACTAACCCTCCTCCAAGTACTCCTTTCATTCTCTGGGCAATCATGGACTGCCAAGTTTGAAATAATTTACCCAATTTATATATATGTAGTAATCTGTAATAATTTTTAATAGAAGACATAGCCAACAATCAAAGCTACTGATTAGCATGAGATTAACCAGTGTTACCAAGTTGATGTAATTCTAGCCAGAAGCAAGGAAATGTGACCTCTTGGTGAGTCTAAACGGCTTTATCTCACTAGTCAGTGTATAATTTTCCAGGCCTTTTAAAATAGTGAAAATTGACTGAGGGACTCTATTGCCATGTTCCTGGCCTCCTACTGGAAACCATTCCCTATTATTATGACTAATCTTCCATTCTTCACTACTACCACATTTCCATCCACCCACTCTGTAACCCTAATTCTAAAGGAATACTTACTAAAATAAAAATGTTTTGGTATATTTATATTCACTACTGCTTATTTCTAAATTTAAGTTTGAAAACTGAATTTTTTTGTGCTATGTCATATTCAACAGTAGCATCCTTATCAAATATTAAGACCATTATTACTTTGGATGAGAGACTAGTAAAGAAAGACAGAGCTATCAGAAAGCCAGTGAGCTTTGTTAGGAATTACTACATTCTAACAACTTGCAATGTACACATAATCGTCATAAGAAATTTTATAATCCAGCCCTAAGACAGTACCTGGCATACAGCAGATGTTTAATAAATATTTGCAGAATGTTGAGCTGATTTAATAAAAGCTTAACAAGTGCCTACTACATGCAAGGCAGTGTACTTAGAAGGATATAACAAGTATCTACCAAATGTCTACTGTGAGTAAAGCACAGTGGAATTTTAAAGTTAAATAAAACATATCCTCCTTAGTTAAATAAAATTTACCCTTTTCTTCATAAATGCCCTTGAATTCAAAGTTATTTTCTAAAGGCTATTTCCTATTTGAAATATACCATATCTACTTAATATGTCTACTGAATATGTGTGTGTGTGTGTGTATATATATATATAAAACATTTATACTTAATGTATTTACTTGGTATATGTACTGTAACTTTCAAAATCCTGTCAAATTTCTGAGTCTCTAGTGAAAACATAAGACAGACTGTTGGCATCCTAGAAAAATTCTGATCTTTGGGGGCTAGCAGATGACTGACCCACCCAGAGGACGATGAAGACAACACAGAACACAGTAATTTATGCTGTTTTTCTGATTTCAAACGGAAATATGTTCCAGAGTTATTCTGTTCTGATCCCTTATGTGTCCTCACCTCCCAATCGATCATGTGGTCTTGCTGGAAGCAATGTAGACCAGAGATAAGTAACTGTTTCCCCAGAGATCTGTTTTTCTATTCAATGTAGCTTCATGTTATTTTTGTTCTTTATGGCTATCAACTGCTTTCTTGGTGTTTTCAACCAATATTTTTTCAGTAACAGCATTTCAGTGAATGCTTGTCTGCTCAGTATTTCCCTTAAAGAAGAAACAGAGCAGGGATCGGAATTTAACCCAGAAAACTTCACTCACCTGGTGAACTGGCCTGGGAGATTCTCTCACTTGGGTATTTCTCCTGCATGGCCATCACAGTTATTTGAGCCAACTGTAGAATGAGTAGGAAGAATCAATTAGATCTCTCCAGTATATCTGAATTCCCTGTAATTCAATTCCTATTCAATGGAACTGTCGAGACCACACAGATTACTCAAATATTCTTCCATATGTCTTATTTCTAAGGATTTTCTTAAGGCAAAACAACTCCCAGTACTCCACTCTATTTCTCTTCCTAAAGCAAGTAGAGAAATCCTAAAACCAAACAGATTCCCAATACTGATCCCATACAGTCTCAGAACCCTTCTAATTGTTGCAAAATTTAAAAGTATATATATATTTTTTAATAATGTTACTTTTAATTAACAAATCTTTGCCATGGATCTTCTTAGCGAGGGGGATGAGGTGGGAGGGGCAAGGTGGAAAAAGACCTAATAAACCAAACCAACAGTGAAGTATTACAGCATCAGTTAAGAGCAACATAAAATGAACTCCCCAATTTCTTCAGTAATAAAAGTTAGTCATATGATGAACAGAACTTTTGGTCATAAGTAGAACCCAATCGTCTGCTGGGAGCATGAAGTTTTTTTCCCATTTCCCTCACCCCTTAAAAAATTTATGTTTACCTTAAGGGTAAACCAAAAACCAAACTTCTTGCCGTACAGTCAATTCTGACTTACAGCAACCCTATAGGACAGAGCCCAACTGCCTCGTAAGGTTTCCAGGGGTGTAAATCTTTACAAAAGCGGACTGCTGCATCTTTCTCCCACGGAGCAGCTGGCTGGTTTGAACATCTGACCTTTCGGTTAGCAGCCAATCACTTAACCACTGTGCCACCAGAGCTCCTCACTCTAAGGGTCACCCATTCACCTGCTGCCATCGAGTTGCTTCTGACTCATAGCGACCCTACAGGACAGAGTAGAACTGCCCCATAGGGTTTCCAAGGAGCGGTTGGTAGATTCGAACTGCTGACCTAGTGCTCCATAATTATCATCTATGTAAACAAAAGCTTCATCTACGTGCAAAGTACTTGAGAGGCAGTATAGGGAAATGGTTAAGAGCACGGACTCTTGATCAGACTGCTTGAGTGTAAAGCCTGGCTCAGCAATTTATTAACTGTGTAACCTTGGACAAATTTTTTAAAATCTCTGTGCCTCAATTCCTTCATACAAAATGACCCAATTCACGCGAACTCATTAAGAATTCACCTAGAACAATGCCTGGCACACATTAAGTGCTTAATTAATGTTTCTAATTTAATTACTTGGCAATTTACATCAATAAAAAGTGGCATAGTACAGTCTCTGATAAATAAATTTAGAAACTTTTCATTTATAAAAGCCCCAAAAGAATTTGTGATAAACTGTCTACAGAACACAATTCTTAGATGTTAAATACAACTTTGGAGGAAAAAAAAAGGCTATATTGTACTTTTCTAATGTACTTCACTGACCTCTATAGTTTTCTCTTAGCAACAACAACCCAAACCCTCACTAATTAAATGCATCTACAACAGAAATGGTACCATTCCCTGAAATCCCAATTCTTCACACACTGGGAGAGAGAAGTTTTGTACAGTAACAAAAGCTTTCAATTTATGGCCAGTATCATTCAGTATGTTAATGATGACACAGAAGGATTAGATTAACTATTAGTGATTCCTTTCTTGTCAATATCAAATTTCCTTTCTTTAAAGTATAACAAAATAGTAGGCCCATTGGATTCTGAGATCTTTCTAAAAACAGATGGGTTGGAAATAGGGTGACAAAAGGAGAACTCTCAGTTCAACACAGAATTACCCCATGGCCCAGTAATTCTATTTCTAGGTATATACTCAAGAAAAATGAAAATGTATGACTCCACAAAAAGCTGTACATGAATGTTCCTACCAGCATTATTTGTAATAGCCAAAAAGTGGGAACAACCCAAATGTCCATCAATTTATGAATAAATAAATAAAATGGAGTATATCCACATATCACCACACATCTGCCAGTTTCTCATACTGTGGTGTTGCTATGATGCTGGAAGCTATGCTACCAATATTCAAATACCAGCAGGGTCACCCATGGTGGACAGGTTTCAGCAGAGCTTCCAGACTAAGACAGACTAGGAAAAAAGGCCTGGAGATCTACTTCCGAAAATTAGCCAATGAAAACCCTACAGATCACAACAGAACACTGTCCAATATAGTCCTGGAAGATGAGCCCCCTAGGTTGGAAGGCACACAAAATACACAGTGGCTGCAACAATGGTCTCGAGCACACCAACAATAGTGAAGATGGCCCAGGACCAAACAATGTTTCATTCTGTTGTACATGGGATTGCCATGAGTTGGGGTCCAACTCAAAGGCAACTAATAACAACAGCCATACAATGGGTTTTGATTCAGCAATAAAAAAGAATAAAGTACTGATACATGCTACATTATACATGAACCTTGAAAACATAATGCTAAGTGAAAGCCAGATATAAAAGGCCCCATGTTATGGAATCCAGATTTTCTGAAGCCATAGAGGCTGGATGAACCCCTGAAACTATGCCCTGAAATAATCTTTAAACCTTAAACCAAAATTACCCCCTGAAGTCTTCTTACAACCAAACAATAGTTTAGCTTAACTAGTAAACAATGTCTCCCTTGAGCATGGTGCTCTTTTAAGATCTATCTATATGGGATCAAAGTGACAACAGCAACTTGAAAGATTAGGAAATTTAGGGGGCAGTGAGTTTATGTTAATGTGGGAAGAATAGTTCAGAAAACGAGGGTGAGAATGGTTGTACAACTTGAAGAATGTAATCAATATCACCGAATTGTACATGTAGAACTGTACACGTAGAAATTGTTGAATTGGTGTATGGTTTACTGTGTATATTCTCAACAACAAAAAATAAAATAAATTATTAAAAAAAAAAACTGTAGACAGAAGCATGCCCTTCTCCCCTGCTTCTTAGCATTCTGGAATGCACCTGTATTAAAATACGAAGAAATAAAGCAAATATAAATTTTAAAAAAAAAAAAAGGTCCCATGTTATAGGACTTGACTTATATGAAACATCCCAAATAGGCAAATTTACAGAGACAGAAAGTAGATTAGTGGTTGCCAGGGGCTAAAGGGAGGGGGGAAATGGGGATTACTGCTAATGGATATGGGGTTTCTTTTGGGGATGATCAAAATGTTCTGGAATTAGAGAGTCGTGATGGTTGTACAACTCTGTGAATACACTACAAAACAGTGAACTGTACACTTAGAAACGATGAAATTTATGGTATGAATATGATATCTCAATTTAAAAAAAAAAAACAAAACAACTCCTACAGGAGTAAAATAATACACAATAACTCATTCCTGACTTTTCCCACTACTAAGTTCAGAACTAGATGGGCCACTGGTGAAAATTTTTAAGACCATTTAAAGGAGATAAGAAATTTTCTGAGATAAAAGTGAGAAAAATGAACACACAGAAAGCAACATGAATAACCAATTATACAGTCAAGAAAGGCAGGGGTGAATGGAAGCAGACAGAAAAGAAATCATTCAACACTAATGGTTTCTATCTTCAAAGTCCTTTAAACTATAGAAATATTCATTCAACAAATTTAACACATATTCAATACTTACTACCCATCAGGCACTGTATTAAACATTTTACAGGTATCATGTATCATGCTCACATCAACTCTGTGAGGCAGTTACTACTATTATCCTCATTTATGGATGAGAAAATAAAGGTTTAGACAGATGAAGGTCATAGCTAGGTAGAGGATTCAAAGCCAGAACTGTGCTCTAATGCTATAGAGTCCAGCCAACATCCTGTGTGTGGCAAAACACAAAAAGAAAAATCAAGGAAGTTATTAAAGCACCACAAGTTGGAGTTTCTGCCTCAGACCTAACCTGAGCTGCAAACCCCAAAGCAATCAGGAGCAGGGACAGCACATATAATTTCTTCACTTTGCCCTTGCTTATCACCCATGCTGTATTTCCCAAGTTGCTACCCAAGAAATAGATTTTGAATGTTACAACTATTTCTCCCCTTGAAGAATCACAATCTTATAAAGGAACATCATAGTTGGCAGCTGTTGAGAGAACCACATCAAGATAGTGGAGGATTTGATAGGAGACACAGACAGCTGACACAGGCACATTAAGAATCTCACACCATCACACTATTTTCAGGGCTTTGATCATTCATTAAACTAGGGAGAGAAAGAGAAGCCAAATCCTTTCCTAGAAGTTGCCTTTACGAAGAACAAATCCTGAGATACAAAACCAGACAGTTATAAAGCAGACAAGGCCTAACGGCAAGTAATGAGAGGGTCGAGGAGCAGAGGCATGGTTATCTTAATCATCTTTGTGTCACCACTCCTCCCTACCTAAAACCAAAAAAAACTAAACCTGTTGCCCATGAGTCGATTCCGACTCATAGCAACCCTGTAGGACAGAACAGAACTGCCCCATAGGGTTTCCAAGAAGCACCTGGTAGATTCAAACTGCTGACCTTTTGGTTCAGAGCCGAACTCTTAACCACTACGCTAGGGTTTCTGCCTCCCTACCTAGCACACACTATTCAATTAATCAACCAGAATTTACTGAGCACCTACTATGTGCCTGGCTCTGTGACAAGTGCAAAAAATATATTGGTGTAAAAGACAAACATGGTTCTGATCCTCTTGGTTTACTGTGATGAAGAAAATGTTGAATATATTCTTAAAAAACCCAAACCTGTTGCCGTCAAATCAATTACAACTCATAGCAACTCTAAAGGACAACAGAACTGCCCCATAGGGTTTCCAAGGAGCAGCTGGTGGATTCCAACTGCCAACCTTTTGGTTAGCTGCCAAGTTCTTAACCACTGTGCCACCAGGGCTCCTGAATATACTCTATATACTGTATTGAACAAATAAGCTTTAACACACTCATCTTCTAGTTCATTCAAAGCACCAGCTCCTCCTTGTCTAGAGAAAGGTTTCTCAACCTTGGCGCTACTAACATTTTGGGCTTGGTAATTCTTTGTTGTGGGGGGCTGTCCTGTGCACTGTAGGATGTTTGGCAGCATCCCTGGCCTTACACACTAGACGCCTGTAGCAACTCCCCAACTTCGACAACCGAAAATGTCTCTAAACCAGAACACCAAACCCGTTGCTGTCGAGTCGATTCCGACTCATAGTGACCCCACAGGACAGAGAAGAACTGCCCCACAGAGTTTCCAAGGAGCGCCTGGTGGATTCGAACTGCCGACCTTTTGGTTAGCAGCCACAGCTCTTAACCACTACGCCACTTTAGCCATAGTCAAATGTCCCATGGAGGGCAAGACTGCCCACTGCTGAGAACCACTGGTCTGGGGCCTTCACAAGTGCTGTATGACCCCCTCAACCTTAACCCTCTCTTTATCCTTCAAAATCTCATTTCCTCAGGGAGGGTTCGCTGACCTCTCAGACTAGGTCACCTCCTCCAGTTTTGTAGTGTTTGCATTTCTTTATCCTACACTTACGGAGAGCTGAGTAATTTTCCGCTTAACTACTAGTAATCACTCTTCTCCCTGTACTATGTGCTCCATGAGGGCAGGAACGTGCTTCCCGCTGTTTCCCTGGCGACTGGCATAGGGCCTGGCCCATAGGTAAAGCAATTTCTGTGGAGTGAAATGACGGAGGAGGAAAGCAAGGCAATGAGCGAGAGAAGACGACCAGACACGAAGGGGAGTAGAGCATTGTTTCAGAAAAGCAGAAGTGATATGAGACGGAGGTGGGTTACGGCTTAGTCGCTCTGCGCATGCGCTTCGCTCTCCTCGTCCCTCCAGAGAGAGGGCGTGAGGGTCTGAGGTTTTGTTGGGGCTGTTGAAGGAGTAGCGTCTGTCAGTCCGGCGGGGCCCCCGAAGGAAGGAGAACTTACGTGGGTATGAAAGCGGGGGCGAAATCCCTCACTCAGGGCGCACTGACCACCACGTCTGCCGCGGGAGGAGGTTCCGTCCCTCAGTTCGCCTAACGGCCGTTACACACCCGCCAGCCCGCGCGACAGACAACGCGTACCGCCCCGACCCCGCCCCTTTTTTCACGGTACCAATCAGGAGTCGGGCCTCGCGGGTCTCCTGCCTCTGCACGCCTGCCTCGGCACCGAAAGTCGAAGTATCTCTCCGCGCAGGACGCCGCCGCGCTTCATAGTCTTCTCTGCCTCTTGCCACGTCTAGCCGCTAGGCGGAGGCCTGCTCAGCAAGGCCTGGAGGGGTTGGTGGGCCTGTGCAGATCGTGAAGGCGGCGGCGGGACTTCCAGTGGGCCAGAGCAAATCATTCAGAAATCCCACCAAACCTGCCCCACCCTCCTCCTATTCCACAGTCCACTGATGAACGCTGCCACCTGAAGCAAAGATCAGGTTGTAACTAGGAGTTAGTTTGTGCCAGAATCACTGACTTGTCAGGGTTAGGGCTCAGTCTATGGTCTGGGTTAGACTCAGGGCTCAGGTTGAAAGGTAAAGAACAAATGTCGTCTCCCTACGAAACTTGGTCCTCAGCAAAAGGGACTATTAAGTTCATTTGCATTAATATGTATTTGAATCATCAGACTGGAAAACTGTTTAAAAGGAGAAACAAAGCCATCAGCCAAAGGAATGAATCTTTAATAATGAAATTCTAGGTATCTGGAAATCTGATTTGGGAGAGAGGCATTAAAAAGGCACAGGACCTACTTGTCATTTTGTGAAATTTCATCTCACAGGTAAGGGCCACCTCTGCCAAATTAGAAAGCATGTCCTGCTCTCTGGTCCCACCTACTCCCTACACTCAACTGTCTTCTCTGTTGAATCCCCAGGGCCTAACACAGGACCTGGCACATACCTAGTAGATTCCAACTCTTTTTTTTTGGAGGGGGAGGGGGCTTAAATTTTTTTTGAAATTATTACAAAGTTCTATAAATTTGAATATGCATAGATTCATGTAACCACCACCATAATCAGAATACAGAACTGTCCCATTACCACATAAAACTCCCTTCCTTCACCCACACAGTCCCTTGCAACCGCTGAATTTTTTCCGTCAGTATAGTTTTGTTTTTCTGAGACTGTCAAATAAATAGAATCAGCAGTAACCTTTTGAGACTGGCTTCTCTTATAGGCCATTTTTTATTGAAACATATATACCCTATTGGGTTATCTGTGTCTTTTCCATACTTGCTCCTTTTCTAAAAGATTGAAAGAGTTTGAAAGGTTCCTTAAAAGAGAACTTTCTCATGGAATTGGTGATATGGACTTAAGGGTGGCTTTGAGATCTTCGTTTCTGTCCCACTTAGTGGGCCCTTGATAACTTTCAGCTGCTCTCCGTTTCCCCTAGCTAAATGAAGGTATAGGTTGTATGCGTGAAGGGAGGCCCACTGATGTTCCAGATGCCTGCTGATAATCAGAATATTATCACTTTAGACAAGGTGTGCTGGAGCCATGGGCCTCTCAAATACTGACCTCATGCTGTGGTGGCAGCAGGAATCCCATTAATGTCCTCAAGAGCCTAACCATTTCTGAATAGATAAATGGTAGTAGCACAAGCACTGCTCCCTATGTCCATCCTCTACTAGGAAGGGGGAACTAATGAGGTCAGAAATAATTAAGGGACAGGAAGAGAAGGCTTGGATAATATCATATGGATGCATTTAACCCTAATTCTGAAATTGAATAGCTCTTGACCATTCTGCAGAAGAGGAAAGGAGATTTAGGGCTGACTAGCTAAGGCCCAGAAACTCTCCTTGGAACAAGAGTATTAAAAAAAAAACCATGTTGCTGTCGATTCTGACTCATGGCTACCCCATGTGTTACAGAGTAGAACTGCTCTATAGGGTTTTCTTGGCTGTAATCTTTACAGAAACAGATCTCCAAGCCTTTTTCCGTGGCACTGCTGGGTGGGTGTGAACTGCCAGCCTTTAGGTTAGTAGTCAAGTGCAAACCATTTGCACCACCCAGGGACCTTAGAACAAGAGTATAGAGTCCTGAGAAGCAGAGATCACCTGGTCAAACTCTTTCATTTTACATATGAGGAAACTGAGGCCCACAGAGAATAAGTGACTTCTCAACTCCCCCCACACCATTTCCTTCAGCACTGTCCACCCTAGTGCTGAAGTTTTGTGGTAAGATTACACAGAAAAGGAGTCAGGCATAAAGTATCAGAATTTCCTATTTATTGGCCAAACCCTTTGTACCCCCACCACCACCACAATATTGAGCAACCCAGTCTCCCCCTTGGAAGCAGCAGGGCTGAGTTCCAGAGATGGGAAGGAAAGATGGGATGAGGAAGTGCAGCCCAAGGCTCAGCAGCCACCGCTCATTACCAGACAGTAGTTGGGTCATATCTTCGGTCTCATCTTTACCCCTAACTTCTCTGGTCCGTCACTAGAGGACAGACTACTTGCCTCTCCTCAAGCCTTCCTCCACCCCCCCCTTGCCTCAGGCTACTAAACTAGAGGCCAGAGACTAGAGTTAAGGGAGGTATCTGAGCGGGACTTTATCCCAGCATCCAGCCTATCACCATCAGGAGAAAGATGACCACCCAGGCTCCTGCAGGAGAGAAAGAAAGAATTATAAAACAGGATTAAGTGGTTTTGAGAGCCTGGGAAACTCTGTGCTATGGGGAATTGGTTTTTAGACTTATGTACACCACTTTGGGGGATTATCTAGTAATCCATTCATTCATTCTTTCAACAGTGCTTTCTTGGGACTGACAGTGTACCAGTCCCTCTGTTAGACTGGGGGTGGGAGGATACAGGGATGAAAGGCAGGAGCCTTTCCCTCAAGGAGATTGGGAAGGAAATCTAATTGGGAGGAAACTGTTCAGGAGCTACAATGCTGGCTGCCTCCTATGATGAGCATTTGAATTGTTTTTTCTGGTCTTGTGATGGATCAAACACTCTCCAAGACTACATTCTGTACCTGATCAGTCCTCTCACTGACTGGATATTAAGTTGAATCATATGAAATTGCCAATACTTGCCCATTTTTTACCTACAAAAATGGCACTTGCATATGGTTCAACCCAACGCTACATACTAAGTTCTATGCTAAATGCTTTACATACATAATTTAGTATTATTCACACAACTGTAGCCCAAACTCTTATCCACTGTACTGGATTTGAGCCCTAGACCCTTGCTGGGAAAACTACTCAGAGGCAACCTGACTGAGCCTCGTTGACATCCAAAGGAAGTATTTTCCAAAAAGGGTTCTTTTGATAACTGAGTCTCAGTTCCCTGTCTATATAATGGAGGCAGCATTTGTGCTAACTTTCAGGATTGTTATATGAGTTAGTCCATGTAAAGTGCTTAGAACAGTGCCAGGCACATCAATAAACGACAGTTGTTATTGTTAAAAGGGTGGCCTTATTTGTCATAAGGAGCTCTGGTGGCACAGTGGTTAAGCGCTTGGCTGCTAACCAAAAGATCGATGGTTCAAACCTACCAGCTGCTCTGTGGAAGAAAGATGTAGCAGTCTGCTCCCGTGAAGATTTACAGCCTTGGAAACTCTATGGGGCAGTTCTACTCTGTCCTATATGGTCACTATAAGTTGAAATCGACTCAACAGCAAAGGGTTTATTTGTCATGTTGTGACAAATTCTGCTTAGAAAAGTCCAGAGATCACCAGACTTTTCTGGCCCCTAATCTTGGAAGTTTTCCACCAAGAAACCAGGACCAGCTACTTCATCTGGGTTTAGCTTTGAGTTTGAGGCAACAGAGGCCAGAGAATGGAGTGGGAAGGAAAAAGCATGTATCCCAGCTTATAAAAGATTTAGGTTCTTACTCTGAGAGGGCTTCCAGATACAGTAACCCCAGTTATGTCTTGTCCTGTAATGTACTGTGCTGCTCTGAGGAGCTCCTTCCACATAGATATTAAACAGACAGCCCCTCCTAGAGTTGTGCAAAATGGCAGCCCTGACTCTAAGCTCTAGAGCTTGAATTTACACTATCACCAGACTCCTCAAACCAGACATTGCAGACTGGTGACCTGTAGGCTGAATCTAGCCTGCAGAAATGGGTAGTTTGGTTGAACAGGGTTTTTTTCCTTTTTTGTGAGGGGGAGGGGGCGTTGTTTGTTTGTATTTAATTGAAATTTCTTGCCAGCATTTGGAGATCTAGTTTCTCTTGGAAAACCAGATCTAGCATGGTTGGTCTGAATTCACACAAGGCAACAATCAGCTGGAGCTGAGCAGTGACTATCCCCTTAGCTGCACTCTCCATCCAATGCAGACCCCCTCAGTACACATCACTTGGTGTTACCTGCCTGGCCCTGTAGGCATCTTAGAATTTTCAACCCCTACCTAAGTGATTTCTGGATAGTCTCATGTTCTGATAAGGGATAAAACTCTATGACAACCAGCAGCTCCACAATTACAACTCTGCCACTGAGGAAACTGAGGCTCAGAGAGGCCAAATGACTTCTCCCAAGTTACAGAGAGTTGAGAAGCAACAGGATGCAAGACCAGGACCCAGTGTGGACCCCTAGACCTTGGTGCAACCATAAGCACCTCACCCCAGCAATCTCTCTGTACCAACCTGCTGAGCTCCAGCTGCTGGAGGCATTGGACTCTGAAATACAAAAGAAAGATTGAGCTTGAGGTGCCATCCTGATAGGACAAAGCCAGCATACTCACATCAAGATTGGGCAAAGGGACTGGCCTACACTGTTGAAGCTAGGACTTAGAAAGGGTGGGATAATGAACCTTCTGTCCCTCATAAGAATGGACATACTAAGAAGATGGGCTTTCCTGTGAGGGGCAGAGACTTGGAGGCCGGTTATGGAATAGAAAGATGGGAGAGATTGTTCTAGGTCAGAAAGGAAGATTTACAGAAGGATTCTGGCATCAGGGACCAACGGACTGACAGAAGAGTGATCTGATGTGACAGAAAGCTGAGAATGGAAGAAGGAGGCAGAGACAGCCCAGCCTGGAAGTTTAAGGAGTTAGAGCAGGGCCAAGTGAGGGAGGAGGCCTCTCTCGAGCA